TGTCTTTGCTCAAGCCATTGGTAATTTCTCTTTTGGTCTTCAAATTTATGTATGTGTGTTTGTATTTGTTTAGCATTTTTATTTATTTATTAAGAGGTTCAATGAGCCGAAATAATACAATGACTAAAAAATAAAAGGTAATTTTTCCTCTCATTTGCCAAATTGGCGAAAGCTCTTATGGTCATGAGGACTCAAACTCGAGATCTTTCACTCTTCACATATGTGTTCATTTACCATAGAAATAATTTTATAGTAAGTTTTAATGTTTCTAATTAATTTTATATTTATATGTTGTAGAAATGAGCGACGATCCAGACCTTAGCTGTGTTTTAGCTCCCACACCTTGTATGTCCAGGTTTGATTATACCGGCCCATGCCTTGAAAAAATTATTAGATAGAATCAGTTTGCCACGTCAGCATTTTGCCATCAAATTCAATATTTTCAATATTATTGAAAATATTGCAATCAAATGCATTTTGCCAGAAAATTAAGATGAGTAATTTTACTCAACAAATTAATTACATCAAACGTAAACATTCATTTAATCCATCTCTTTTGTTTTACTTTTTTTTTATATATTTTTTATTATCTTACATTTTTTATGTATCTTACATATTCTTCTCTCTAAAAAAGTCTCAAAAATTTCTTTCTAATATTGATTTCGATTTAGAATAATATTTGATAATAGGAAAAAAAAATAAAAAAAATTTGAAATAGGAAAAAAAAATAAAAAAAAGAAATGTATAATTTAGAAAGTATACTTTTGTCTACTTAATAAAAGAGAAAGAATATGAGCAATCATCTTTCAACCATCTCAAATAGTTTCACGTCCGTTACCAATCTATTTTTTTGCTCAATACACATGCAAAAGAACAAATATAATTGTTTTTTTTTTACATGATTCATCTCTTTTTCCCTTTAAAATCACAATTTTTATTATTTTTAATGATATTATGTTTTAACATTATTGATTAAAATTTTGATATATATGTTACCTAAGTGGTAGCAAGCCAAAACTTTTTGAAATTGACTTTCATGCTCCTTGACAATGGCACGTTTTGTGAGGTTTAATTCAACCCGTCATGACTATTAACAAAAGGAGTTCTAACGGCTTTAATTACTTTAATTACTTTAATTACTTTAATTTAGAATTAAACCTAACTCCCTTTATGTGCACTCTAATAAGGTTAACTTTTTTTGAAGATAATATTAATATTTCATTAAAAAATTTCAAATCAATACAAATATTACTGGGAGGACATTATCCCTCTTATGAAGTACAGACATAGAATAAAAACTATAAAATAATTATTGTTCATTGATCTAATAAAAAATAAAAGATGAACTTCAAGAAAACAGATAGAACTTCGAAAGTGATTAATTAGATGAATTCTCCCAATCTTCTATACATGGCGTAGTTATCCATGAATTAATTGCTTATGATGAACACATAGGATTTGAACTACTAAATCCAGTGAAGGAACATATCATACTACTAGGGTTCAAAAGATGAATATCATCATATAGTTGAAAAATTCTCTACAAATTGCAACATATCCAAATAAGCCAAAAAAATGCAAACAACAAAACAAAACTCTACATAAAATGGAGAGATCATAAACTCCACACAAGATGGAGATAAAACACAAATAATAGTAGAAACATAAATAACAGTAGAAAAACATAAATAACATGAATACTATGCTATAATAGAACATAGATACGTAATTTATTTATTTGAAAATAGCAAAAATTTACAATAAAATTAAAAATAGATAAAATTAAAAATATAAGAGGGGCTGTCACAAGAGCGGTTGGAGCATTAAGCATATGCTAGCATTGGTTCGCCAATAAAGAGATATTGAAATCTCGAAGCCTTCGAAAACTAATGCTTCCTTCCTCCTTACTCCTGAACAACTTGGTCCGAGAAGCCTAATGGATGCCAATAGATGTATCTTCATTGCTATTTTTCCACCAAAATTAATTCATAGCATTCTCAATTGTGTCACAAATATTGACAGGCAATATGTCCAGTGTAATATTTGAGATGAGAGAAAAAAAAATATTAAAGCGAGAAAAGTATAGAGAAGATGAATGAGAGAAAATTTTTGAGAGACATTCACCATGCTAACACAATATTAATTATTAATTTTTTCACTCCGGCGTGCCACCTCAGTTATTAGGTGTACTCTTGTGGAAACCGATTAGAAGAGAGTTTAATGTTAAAAAATAGAAATTGAGATAGTTTTAAGTGACAAATTTAAAATGAGGTAGCATAAAGTGGTACTCTATAAGTTGGGGAAGTTCATATAATAATTTTTATAATTTTATTTCAAGCAAAATTGAAAAGGAAAAACAACTCTCTTTCTCTGCAACTACGAAATAGATGTCTTAAACAAGATCCGTGTAATATATTTACGGGGGAGTTGGCATTTTTAGGTTTTGGTGTGAGCCAATAGAATGGCCTCCACGTCGCAGTCCCTCCGCTTTCTAGCTCCTGCCTCCGCCGGTCCCGGTGGCGGCAGCTTTGGCAGCTTTTGATGCTTCTCAATCGCATACTTGCAGACCTCTGCCACTCGTGGCAACCCCAAGGTAGTGCCCAAATTTTTCCGGTCTCTTCTTCTTCTTCGTTTTCTTCTTTTTGTTGTTGCGGGGAAATGAAGGTGAGAGGAGACGGAAGAGGTGAGAATTGTGCTTCTGTTCTGCATTTTGGTTGCGAATGCGGATTAGTGATGGAGTTAGTTTGGAGTGGAAATAACAAGTGAAGTTAATTTTGCAGTTAGACTTGGTTCCCGGGGTTTAGTGTAAATATTGGTGAGATTCTCTGTTTGGACAGTCGAGAAGTTTGACAGTCGAGAAAGTGGTGGAAAAACGGTGACAGTGAAAATCAAAATAGTTCTATATCTCTTTCTGAATTAAGGATAAACTAGCTTTAAATGAGCTTGTAGTTGTGTTTTGTTGAGTTTATGAGTACTGATTTTAGGATTCTATGCTACTTTACTTGAAAATACAATGCAAGAAAGAGAAGTCGACATATGTTTCTGCTTTTCGTTTTGTTGGTTTCTGTTGAATTAATTGTGTAATTTATGTTGGTGCTTTATATTAGCTTCTTTAAAACTTGCTATCTGCCTGATTTAAAGTATGTTATTTGTTTTTATTGTTTATGTATAGTATTTAATTTCTGGGCTTTGATGGATAAATGTTGTGCTATATACAGGAAGGCACATCAATGGCCTTAAGAAAACATTTGGAGGAGGAAGCCCGTGATCTTAGTGGAGAAGCTTTTTCCCTTTTCATGGATCAGTTATATGAAAAGATTTCGTTATATGAAAAGATTTCGAGTCTGCTAGAAGAGTAACGAAGTTGCTGAGAATTTGGGAGCCTTAAGAGCCATTGACGAGTGATAATTTTTGAGCACTTGGCGAAGGAATGCCTCTAAAGTCTCTAAAGTTCTATTTATATGCGGAATGTGTGAAAGTAAAACGAGGATCGTGAGTGTTGACCCTTGCTAGTAGGGTTCTTGCCATTTGGCTAGGGCTGGAGGGCAAATGACTGGCAGATGAAAAGTGGAAATTTTCAGCGTTCCATCTTAGCTTTATTTAATGTGTTAGTATTTTCTCTTGCTTTGCATCCACCTTACATTGCTTTTTGTCATAGGTGAAAATGGCACTAGACTGGCTTCGAATGATAGAGCAGAATATCGTCTCTTTGCTGCAAGTCTCATCTTAAAGTATAGTACTATTTTCCCTCACCAAAATTATTGAGAAAAAACATTTTTTTTCCTGTTACTAGTGGTTTAGTCTGGAAAGACTAAAATTTGGTTTAGTCGGAAATCAGTTTGTTATTTTGTCACCATTTTCTGTTCGATTTGTCAACATTTTCTTTCGATTTTCAGTAATATCTTCATGGTCGAGACATATACTCTGCATTTTGACCATGGCAGGAAATGGCAGAAAATGCTTCCACAGTATTCAATGTTCATGTTCCTGAATTTGTCGACGCTATCTGGGTTGCATTGAGGCATCCAACACTGGAGGTTAGAGAGTGAGCTGTTGAGGCATTGCGTGCTTGCCTTCGAGTTATTGAAAAGCTTGAGACACGTTGGCGTGTGCAATGGTTAGTACAGTTATGAAATATTTCAATTTATGAAAGTAAATATATTTCGCATCAAGAAGTTCTACTTGGGTGATTGCTTGACCTGTCCTAATTCACCTGGCCACTCATTTGGGGAAGAAAAAAAAAGCAAAAATAAGAGAGCTCCGGAAGCTATTTGAGATGTTTGAAGGATGCAATTGGTAGAAGAGAAGAACTCTCATAGTTTTCCTGTTTAACAGTTTTCCTGTTTAACAATTTACACTCATTGCACTTTGCATTTGGCGGCTGAAAAGTTGAGAAGTTATCCAGGAGAGGTTCATTTAGAAGCAGGATAATGAATTTAAATACCATTTGGTCAAAATAGACGTGTTTGCTTTTTCACTGTTGAAAGCTGAGTTAGGGATCAAGACTCAAGAGTCTTATGGTTGGGAAGATTCTTTTTTGACATTTTCTGTGTATGTCTAATAGATCCATATGCTGGGCTGGTAAATTTGAGGCATTGATGCGATGGAGGTTAAACTGGGAAGAGGTAGATTCTAGAACCATATGGAAGGAAGTTGTCTCAAAAAGATATTTACTATCTTTGACGTTAATGGGACTTGGATATGAATTAGAATGGAATAGAAACAAAAAGGAATTCATATAGCCGACTCCAACTAGTTTTGGATTTAAGGTTTAGTGTTGTAAAGATTGAGGAATATTTGGACTATAAGGAACAACCAAAACTTTCCAATTTCATAGTGAATACAAGATTATTATAAACAACAAAAAGCGTAAAATTCTTGCGTGCGTTATTATGATGAGAATAGTCTCTAGAATTAGGTTCAGTGGATTGGCGTTTATAGCTTTTATGTTTATAGCTTTTATGTTCTCCGGGTTGTTGCTCTGGTACCAAATGTTGCTGAGGTTAATCTAGTAATGATCATTGATCTTGAAAGAGAGGTCTAATAAAAAAAAATATGGAGAATAATTGGCCATGAGGCCCATGACAAGATAACTCAAAGTTAAGAAATGAAGTTTGTGGATTTTTGGTTCAAGCGATGAAAGAAGCCTGTGTCTGAAATTCTTGATCAATTGGAAAAGATTCTTGACAGACTTTGTGCTAATAGTTTGTTACTTTCTTTTGATTATACCACAAAAAATTGATAAGAAGCTCTTTATCTGCCCCTCTGAATGGGGGAAAACAGAGGGGTAAGAGGAAAGCTCAGAAAAAAATCCTCATTTAGTTGAATGACATATTTGTTGAAGGTCTATATTAGTATATTCTGATAAGAAAATTGTCCTGCTTGGATTTGATGGGCTTCTCTGCTGGTCCTGGGCTTCTCTGCTGGTCCTTTTTGTAAGAAAAAAGTGTTTCCTAATGTGTTTGTTGACCTTGGTGCTGCATGCTTGTGGAATTTACTTCCAGGCTTCACGTTCTGAGATGCTTTATCTTGTGACAAGAGTAAAATCTAGTATATGCTTTTCTTTTGAAAGAAAATTATGCTCTATTGAGTAATAAATGCTGTTTGGTTTTGCTTTTGAACCTTTTGAACTGGTACTATCGTATGTTCGAGGCCACACAGGATGGCTTGGGTAAAAATGCGCCTGTTCACAGTATACATGGCTCTTTACTTGCAGTTGGAGAGCTTTTGAGGTCAGTTAATACGCCTTATTTCTTTTTCTGAAACAGTTTTTGACCTTTGGCTTATGGACTAATTTAATTTTTGGTATAAGAACATTTGTGTTGAGAAATTTATTCCAGTTTTTGAGGTCAGTTTGTCTCAATTTTATTCATTTCAAGTTTTTGAGAGTTGGAAATTCGTTCCTACTCAATAGGGGCTGGGAAATTTGAAAGGCATATGGGAACAATACCACTATTTGGTCTTATGAGTTTTCTTAGACAGATTGTTCAGGTCTTGTTAATCATTGCTTCAAGAAACTAAACAAATGGTTCTATATCAAGTGGAACTTTGCAACATAACCTGCTGATGTGTTGTTACGATTTGAGTGAGAGAGAGAGCAAGCTCTGTCTTTTGTCTCTTTCTTTTATGAAAAGAATTTCTGTCCTTTTATTATTTTGATTATGCCCTCTTATTTGGGTATGTTTAAAACCATAATATCGGGCTTTCATTTGGAGGCCTATTAGGCTACAGTTCACCTTTTGTATTTTAAATAAAGGGTTACCACTTAATTAGTTACTCACAGATAATCATAATTTATTTATATGTTAACTTCACAGTATTGACAAGTGTACATTTAATAAGTATAGGTTAGTTCACTTGTAACCTGGAGTTCATGGGTTCAAGCCACACCACATAAACAGCTTTCCTGTGAAAAAGAATGGGAAGTGTATGCATTCAACCCTCCTTCAGTCCCACAAATGTGAGATACTTTCATGCACTGGCTCTCGCTATTTTTATATATGTTAAGTAATAAATTTGAGTCATCTTTTGCATATTTTTTAATTGTATCCCTAGCCATCACAGTCCTAATATGCTTCGATTACTTGGGACCACTGTGATAACAATTTTGAGAATCTTGGTGGTAACCTTTTTAGTGGCGGGGAGTTAAGGGACCTTATTGTCGAAAAAAACTTACATTAATTGTTTGTTCTGCTTCAAGGATTAAAGTATTTAGATGTTGATGTTATTAATTTGAAGCAAGCGGACCCAAACTTCTTGTGGCTCCTGAGGGATATTTTTATCTTTAAGGGATATAGGTTTGTTTGTTAATTGTAAGGGCTTATAGTTCATCGGTTCTTTTTTCGATTTTTGTTTTGTTAGATGTTTGCTTATAGTTCATCGGTTCTTTTTTCATTTTTGTTTTGTTAGATGTTTGGGCCTTAGGGATCAGAGCGTTGATGACATGATGGTTTATGATCTAAATAGGTCTAGGAAGAAACCTCTCTCCTCCCTGCCCCCCCTCCTCTCTCTCTCTCTCTCTCCTTCCTTGTCTCAGATGTCTTCTATGTATGTGAATTATGCTTGGTAGGTGGGTGCTTGAGTGGAGTTCAATCTGATTTGGCATTTGTGAGAAACCTATGGAGTCTGAGAGTTACTTGTAGTGTTAAGAGATTTGGTAGTTGCCTAAGGAAGTATGCTTTTGAGGAATTCTACCATTCTACCATTTGATGCTCAATTTACTTGGTTAATTTCCAATGAGCTTCATTTGATGCTCAACTATAAATGGATTTTTTTTTGTTTTAGTGATTTGGAGGATGCTCTGGAGTTACTATTTTGACTTGTGTTTGATAAATTCTTATCACATGACGGGCTCATACTTCTCTGGTTTGAGAATGTGGTTTTTTTTCATCTTGTTTTTGACAGACTGATGGAGGAATGGTGGGAATGATGCTGAATGAAAGGTTGACAAGACTTTATGCTTGTGAAATTTAGATTTCTAAAAGTAATTTTGGAGGAAATAAAGAAGTATGGATATCCTTCAGCAAATTGATTAGTTGAATATATTGGAGGAAATAGGATGTAACCAGAAGCTGTTGATTTTCTTTTTTTAGGATATTTTTAGGATTTTCAACAGTGTGTTGTTTTTTTTTTTTTTTAATTTTTTCCTGGTTGAAATTTAAACTAGATAAAAATGTTATACTATGTTGCACAGAAACCGAAACGTGGAAGTGTGGAAACGTGGGGAAAATGCGTAAATATGAAAAGTATAGGGAAACGTGGAAGCGTGGAAACGCGGAAATGTGACACGGGGGAAATGGTTATTTTTAAAAAATATTAGAAAACGGAACGTGGGGGGAAATGGGTAAATATGAAAAGTATAGGTTTTATTTATAAAAATACAAAAAAATAAATTATTATAAACCATTAAATATATCAATATAAACCATTAAATATATTCAATAACAAGTCAAGTCCAATCAATATTTAATGATATCCAAAAGAATTACAAGTTTCATGCTCATAAAAAATACATGTTTTATGAATCTATATTTATTTATGTTTTTATTTTAATTAAGAAATGAGCTTTTGAGTTTATGGAAACATATTTCGAGAGCGGAAACGCGTTTCCAAATTATTCAATTTACAGAAATGGCCCCGAAACGTTTCCGTGCTGGAAACATTTCTGAAACATAGATGTTTTATGTAGTATTCTTGTTGATTTTCCTGTCTAGGGTGTTCCTTCCTTTTCTTCCTTTTTTTTGCTCCCATGAGAGTTCCTTTATCCTTACGTCTGTTAGATGTGCAATGCCAAGAGAGAAAAGAGCTCTTACTTGAAAAGCACAATTAGCAATTCAATCTGGTTAAGAGAAACGAAAGAGAAAGAAAGGAAAAGTTCTAATCGTGCTTAGAAGATGGATTAGAAGCTTGTAATGGGAGGAATTCTTAGCCTCTATTTGGGCATTGGTTTTGTTTATTTGGGCATTGGTTTTGTTTTATAGATTAATAGGAAAGTACAGTAAAGTTTCCATGAATAACTTTAAAGATGAAATGCTGAAGAGACGTAGAAAAGAAATATGCCTACCTGAGATGGCTGCGACACCAGAAGTAATAATTGTTGGTGCTGGTGTTGCTGGCTCAGCTCTTGCTTATGCTCTTGGCAAGGTAAATTTTGTTATTTAGCATTGTATTATCAATCAATCAAACGAGTTTGAGATGAACAAATCTCAATGCATCAGTTCAAGTGCTATTTTTTTTTTACTACACTGAAACATAATAGTTTGGATATTAACTGCAGGATGGATGCCGGGTGCATGTAATTGAGAGAGACTTGAATGAGCCTGATAGAATTGTTGGTGAACTGTTGCAGCCCGGCGGGTATCTTAAATTGATTGAGTTGGGTCCTGAAGGTATATGGAAAATTCAGCACATCAGATCTTCTGTAGTTCAGAAATTTATTAGAGTTTCAAATTTTACTCAATTAGTTAATGATGCTGCAGATTGTGTAGAACAGATTGATGCTCAGCAAATTTTTGGATATGCTATTTTCAAGAATGGAAAAAGTAGCAAGCTGGAAAAAGTAGCAAGCTGGCATATCCTCTGATGGCTTTTCATAATTCAAATGTGGCTGGAAGAAGCTTCCACAACGGACGTTTCATACAAAGAATGCGAGAGAAGCTTCTTGAATTTACCAAAACAGAAAAATACAGTTTTATTCTTGTATTCCATGGCCTTGAATTTCAGTACAGCCGCTTCTCCTTCTTCAACTACTCGCTTTCTAATAATACCAAAACATAACAATAATCTTTTCAAGCTCTACTCTTCTTGTAGAAAATTATTAGTGTTTTCCAAATCAGAAAGTGCCGAAAGTACTGGAGTTACAGAGCAAAATCTTCCTTCTTCGTTTTCTGGTATGCTTATTAAAAATTTTCAGTTCAAAGCTTAAGAAATTTAAATTTAATGGCTTTTAAATCTTATTTTGTATTTTCTTTCTAAAAGGGTCATTATCTTCTACTCTGACACAGCTAGATCTCTTGGATCAACTCACATCCACAACCCCTTCAACAGCTGACACCACTGGTATGTTAATGGATATTTCTTGAATTTAGCATAATAGCTATTTGCAGAAACAAGAAAGCACTGAAATACGAAAATTTTTGGTGATCAGGTTATGAAATTGAAATATGTGATGAAAATTGAAATATGGCAGTTCCCGTAGACTTGCAATAAGGGAGCAGCTTGTGAAATTAGTAGGAGAAAGAGGTGATGATGAAAATTTCAGCATTCCATTAGGTAAAAATCTGAAGAAGGTTAGTCCAAAGTTCTTAACCATTTCACAGAAGAGAAACATTAGAAGACAAGCTTATTTGAATAGAAGACAAGCTTATTTGAATGAAGTTTCTCAAAGGAATGATTCAGTTTTCTTTGCAACTATTGGAGCTTTCGTAATTTTTGCTTAGCTAATATACTTATTATCATAGTTAGAATAAAACTATAAAGTTATATAAAACTCATTTATAAAATTACAACATCCAAATGGGTCTTATAAGATGTAACTTTTAATTGCAAGTTTCCTCTGCCCAACAAGAAATAGTAACATCTGTTAGACCATGAAATGAAAGAAAATCTGCCATGGTAATACAGAAATTTGATCCATATATATATGGTTTAAAAAGAAAACATACCAATGATGTAAGGAAATAGCAAGACAGAAGACGGCATCCAAGTTCAATAAAAGATAGCAAGTTGCAATTCCAACTCAGCCGCAGTTTGCTCTGCGTTTTGCTTTAACCGGAATACTAGCGTTAGGACGCACGATGGGCGGAGTAATATCAAATAATAAAATAATTTTTTATAACATTATTTAAAAATAACAAAATTGTATAATAAATTGATCGTGAAATGCATTATAAGATTGTATTTCATTGAGATAAAAATGTCTTTTTAAGTATCCTGCGAAGCCTTTCACCAAGGTAGATGTGTCAAAAAGGTTAGCATTTCGGATTTCACACGGTTTCATTTAACATGTGACACAATTATGGTCAAAGCAAACAAGATACAAAAATTAGGCGGGCTACATGAACACGACACATGCAACTCGCCTAATATCATAAGCGAGAAATGTAAAAAAAATAAAAAAAAGTTGTATGTATATAATATGTTTGAAAAATTAATTGTTTGTCCTGCTGATTCTATTTTGGTTTTTTAATTTTGAATTTTTAATAATTTATGAAACTTTTAGAAATATAAAACACTTTATCTTCTTACAACTGTTCTAAATAATTATTATCTCCTCACACTTGACTTTTTCAGAGACTTAAACTTAACTTCCATATAATGCAAACTGATATACTCAACAACTTGACTTGTTTTTCAGAGACTTAAACTTAAACTTCCATATAATGCAAACTGATATATTATATATAATATATGATAATATATATAAATTATATATAATATATATTATTATATAATTATATATATATATATATATATATTCAAATTTTAAAATAGTTACTTTTACTACAACATCCTGAACCTCTTCCCTGTTTCTCCTATATATACTTCAATTTTAAATAGTTACTTACTACAACATCCTGAACCTCTTCCTGTTTCTCCTTCCCTCATTCTCAATCTCTTCGTCCTCCTCGCCGCGGTCATTCTCCTTAATGTACCAGCGACCATCATTGTCAGCAGTCAATGGATGTACACCACATTTGATGATATGAAAATCTGGTATCCTGCTCCCTTCGTTATCTATGGCATAGGATTTGAAGGAGGCCTGCCTCAAATGATATTTGGACATAAATACATTAGACTCGCACCACAAGACAACGTGTTCTGATTGGAGGGTCATGCCATCTTTGTTAGAGAAATATTGCCTCAACTGGTATTTCGACTCGGCAGTAAATACATCAAGAGTCACCGTATTCAGTTATAAACCGGCGATCACATTGAATGTCCGAAAGTGGAGTATTATTGCCTTGGCATGAAACAACAGCGCAAAAAGCGCAACCCAGCAATTTAGGACTGTAACCTGCCTCGAGCGATAATGATAATGAAGATCCAGTACTTTGATAGCTGAACCAATTTGGGACTTCAGTCCCAGGTATGCACAACCTAACTTCACATAGATCTTCGCAATCAGATGGATCTTTTCGGTGAATAACATTGGTAATGATTCAAGAGAACTGCAGCTAGGCATATTCACAAGTTCTAACCCAGATGGAAGCTGTGGCACACGTTGAAGGTTCTTACAATTACTTAAATTTAGTATAGTCAGGTTAGTAAGTCCTTTGATGGTTACTGGCAAGCTCCTGAAATCATTGCTTGATAAATTTAACTCTCTCAAGGACACTGAGAAGCCAAGACTCTTGGGAATTTCTTTTATACCGCAGTTCATTAGCTGAAGCTCTTGTAGACTCGTCAATGCTCCCAGAGAAGGCAATGTCATACCTACATATCCTGAATAACCTAAATCTACTAGGTTTTGCAAGCGGGATATGGAGGATGGTAGTTCCTTTATACCGCTAAAAGTGGTATCTATCCTCTTCAAAGATTCTAAATTCCCCAAGTCTTCAGGCAATTTTTTGAGGCGAGGACATTCTCTAAGAAGCAAACTTTCAAGAGACTTGATATTGCATATGCTTTTTGGAAGTCTTGCCAGTTTTGAGCATCCGCTAAGATCAAGCAGTTGGAGAGATCTTAACTTACCGATACCGCTTGCGAGGCTATTGAGGCTTGTGCAGGATACCAACTCCAGTTTAACAAGTTGGAACTGGCGTCTAATTGATGGGGGCACTTCTATTGCAGTTCCGCTTAAATTTAACCTCTTTGTAACTTTTGGAATCTCCGGAAACCTTGTGATTTTTTTGCAATTGCGGAGAGATAGACATTCAAGTCTTGTTAATTGGAGGCAGCCTGGGAAACTACTGATAAGTTTACACTCATTTAGATTCAGATGAGTAATCTTTGTGCAAAATCCAATAGATGAGGGAACTTCAACCAAACTTGTGCAACCTTAGAAATTGACAAACTCAAGATTTGGAGCTTCAGACAAGATTAGGTACAGAGTAGCTAAAACGCACTAGATTTTCAAGAAGCTGTAAAGAAAACGAAGAAAAAAAGGCAATATTTGGTTTTGGTACATCGGAAAATCTTAAAGGGAAGAGACTGCAAGGTTTGGAGTTTGAACCCTTCATGACCTCCTGCACTGCGAAGCAAATGCTGACCTACTGTTCCAGTAAATATTATATAAAAAAAATTAACAAAGGTTAACTACATTTGTTATAGAACTAAATGCCTTAACTCCACTCCAAATTTGTCTAAATCTGCTATGGGGCATTTCCAGTTCAACAAGATTTCTTGGATTAAAACTCGCCGGCAAAGATTCCAATGGGTATTGCTCCCAGTGGAGACACCTTATCTCGTCAGGAAGAAAACTGGGGCCTCCAGGGAGCTGCACGTTGATTCTGCTGGAGAAAGGATTATAGAATTTAAGGATTCTAAGGTTATTCATCCCTTCAAAAGCACGAGCAGATAAATTTACATCTGGAATTTTAGACAACGTTGAACATTTGTAACGCACTTATGAGTACAAGTCCTCCTAAAAAATATAGTTGGAGTTCCTCTGCAAAATACTTCGGCTGGCCGGCTCCCCTTAATTCCACCGCTGACTACAACATCCTCAACCTCTTCGTCTTTCTCTTTTCTTCTTCCTCAACCTCGTCCTCCTCACCTACCACATTACTAAACCTAAGGTGATGATGGACGCCACACTTAACAATCGCGTTGTAATTGCGACGGTTTTCCATATCTAGAGCGTAGAATTCAAAGACTGTCTTCTTGTTATCTAAAGGGAGCTCAATTCTCTCACTCCAAAAGACCACATGTTCTGAATGAAGGACGAAACCTTCGCTTGACTCTGGATAAAAAACTTCATAACGCGGAGGTATAAACTCCTTAACCTCGAGATAACCTAGTTCTTTCAGAGTCTCGTTGGTGAAAATATAGACTGTGTAACCAATACTTGATACACCATGCCAAACAGAGTCCAAAAACTTTGGATCTATAACAACGCAGAGACCAAATTGCACCCTCTCGCATTGTTTGGATGATGAAGACAAAGTCAGAGAATATCCACAGTTATTTTGATACATCATCGTTTGTGGCAGCTCATTCCCAGGGTAAAAAATAGTCTGTACCAAGAAAATCGCAGTTATTTTGATGGCAGCTCATTCCCAGGGTAAAAAATAGTCTGTACCAAGAAAATCGCAGTTATTTTGATAAAACCTACAGAGAACAGAAATTAATGGTATATATCTATATATATAAATAGCAGATGAAGAGGGAGAAAGGCATACCTTTCTACTCGCCAGAGGTGTGGCTAGTAAATGATCCACAAATTCATTACACTTACCCAAATCCAAATTGAAGCAATTAGCAAATGCAAATGTAACAATGTTGTCTAGTTGGAATAAGCTGGATGCTGATTTCAAACTAGTGCTAGTTGGAATAAGCTGGATGCTGATTTCAAACTAGTGCAATTATCTCCGAATATATTAAATAATTTCGAGAGAGATGGAAGTTCACTTGGTAAATATTTTAGTCTCTTACATTGTCCAAAACTCAAATAAAGCAGCTTAGATAGTTGTTTGATGCAATCAGGTATGCTCTCGAAATTATTCCCACCTATCAGTAAATATTCCAGTGATGAATCCGAATGGCAAAGACAGCTAGGAAATTCTGATAGGCCACAAGATTCTAGTTTTATGAACGTCAATTGTCTCCACAGATTGACAGAAGACAGTAGTCCTTTGATACGAATACCTCCAAGATGAAGCGCTGTTAGAGATTCTAAATCCCCCAATTTCTCTGGCACACTATGGAGATTTGCACAGTTCCCTACCAGGAGAGTTCTTAATTTTCTAAGATTGCAGATGCTGTCTGGTAGTTCTATTAAACCAGAATTGATTGCATTTAAGCCCCCTAGAGATTCCAAATTCCCTATGTTTTCTGGCAATCTCTTTAGATTTACACATCCTGTGATTTGAAAGTCCATTAGAGACTTCAGATTGCAAATGCTGTCCGGGAGACTTTCAAGCATTGTACAATCACTCAAGTCAAGTGAGGAAAGACGAGAGAGAGACCCAATTGATGGGGGCACCTTTTCTATTCTAGTTCGTTGCAAAACTAGCTCCTCTACGTTATACGGGAACTCTGGAAACTCTGCAAGTTTTAAGCATTCAGAGGCCCTAAATTCCTTGAGACTTTTCAAATCAAGGAGGCTTGGTAAAGTGCAAAGACTATCGCATTTCGTTAGATGCAATCGAGTAAGCTTGCTCAAATATTTTGGAGAGGGAATCTCAACCAAACTTTCACAGTAACTCAGATCTAAAAACTCAAGTTTCGCGGCTTTAGACAAGTCTGGAACTCTTATTAGCTCCTTAGAGTGACTGAGATTGACGAATTTCAAATTTCCCAGTTGCTGTAATGAAAAAGAAGTGTAAGAATAAAATCATATATCTAACGTTCACAAAAACTACCTGCAAAGAAGCATTCTAAATCCTACCTGAACTCCACTGCAAAGTTCTTTTAGTTTGCTTGCACACATGCGAAGTTCGACCAGATTCTCTACATAAGAACCCAGCGGCAAAGATTTTAAAGGGAATTGATACCAGTGGAGTAACCTTAGCTCTTCTGGCAGAAAACTGAGGCCTTTAGGAAGGTATACTTTGATTTTACTGGGTGAAGCATAGAACTTGAGAAACTTAAGATTATACATTTTCTCGAAGGCTGTAGGTTTTAAATTTAGCTCTTTGGCAGTAGACATGTTCAATGATATGCCTTTAATTGCTTCAGTCCCCTGAAAACAAACAGCCAAAATAAGTGCAAAAAGAAATCCAAAAGGTCATTAGAATTGAAGTTTTTTCTTACAAACAGCCAAAATAAGTTGCCAAAAAGAAATCCAAAAGGTCATATAGAATTTGAAGTTTTTTCTTAAAAAGTAGTAAACGGTTTTTAATACAAGCTCAAAAAATAATAGACAAATATACGCAAATACATTGATTCTGCCTAAGCTCTTTCGCCAGGATAATCATAGGAGGTCCCTTGGGAATCGCGACCACAGACGAGCCCATCTAAAACGCCATCGCCGTAACAGAGATCATATGAGCCCCATTCTCTGTAGCAAAGGTCATGGCAATATGTAAACTGCAATCATGGTGAGCGAAAAAGGAGATCTATCAAGCGAGAGAGAGTTATTCCAATTTTTTGAACAGGGACAATCTAATAGAAACTTTCACGCGATTTAGTGCATCCATGTGAAACTCATTGTCATCAATAGCATGAAAAGATTTCCTTCATTCTCACGTAGTCCATCATAACTTATCTCAATATATTGCTTGGATTTTCACAGATAACCGGACATTTTAAATAGTTCCAATTCATCCTACCATACTTCTTCATCTTGACATACAATTGAACCTAAAACTCTGAGAGCCAACGAAATGCCGCTAGCGATGAGCAAATGGCCAATTGGACAACTCAAAATATCCTGTTCTTGGAAATTGTTGCTTGAAGCATGCTTGCAAAACAGGCAGAAGCTTCACTTTAAGTTTAATTATTCATCACGTTCATGATGACTTGGATGGTATCGCAAAGTTTAAAACTCTATGCTGTCCTAATCTAAGTGTGTTGACTAACTTCCTTTGACATAATCAGCAAAAATGCTTCTGATTAAAAGTTCCTACTTGCGGCACTAAATCATGCACACATCAATCCAGAACTAAGAACTTTTTGTTCTGAGAGCCTACGTTCTATGTGAAAGAAGAGACAAAATGCGTGAGCTAACGATTACTTGAATTTGCACGTTAGGTCTAATAAATGAAAAGAATTGTCCTTTCTAAATCACATAAATGTGCACGTTTATTCTAATCTTTATTCTTAACATTATGCAACAAAACATTCGCTGTAAAGGGAGAGACCAAGAACAGAAAATTGTTCCCGGATTTAAAATGCAAAAGAAAAATACGCTCTTTTAAGTACTTATTTGGGTTTCCCCCCCCTTAAACGCCAAAAATGGGGGTGTTTTGCCGATAGCCGCCATCTCCGGTCAAAATTGCTCCTAAATCGTACATGCTGGCGCCCAAGGTGAACAACTGATCACTACCAACAATCTCTGACTCGTGGAATCAATCGAACACCATATCTCGAAGTCAATCAAATTGGATACACAATATATTCGACGAGAGTAGATAGACGAGTATATTTCCCCTCAATTAATTGGAGTCAGACCTGGTTTATCATACATGGAAAGGTAGACACATATCCACTAAAAAATAAAAAAATAGTAACTCAAATTATAAAGAATTACAATAGGTGAGACATCATTATAAAGCAGACAGCAAAGTAAACAAGACAATGTGCACTTATGCTTATAAATGTTTGTGAAAACCAATCCTGACATTCGAAATTTCCGTAAAGCTTGCGCACCGAGCGTAACACGCCTTCGAATGTCAAATACGACCGGTCCCTTCCTTGCTAGCTATGGCACCCCAAATTCCGTCAGATCTTTGAAATGGCTGAGATCTACTCGTAAACAAACTGAAAGAACGATCATGCATATGCTTTGCACTCAAAGTAATCATAACGCAATGCACCAACACCAGGGAGAAATAGGCAGAGAGAGTCTTGAGAAAATGACTCACTGAGAATAATATTTACAATTTTGCATTATAGTAGAGATGCAAGAGATGTTCACCCCTGTCAAGTTTTCATCACGAAAGCAACTATTCATTTTGACTCAAAGCTTATGAGTGCCGAGAAATACATCCCGGACACTCTTCACCTCTAACATTAACGAACAATCGTAACTGCTTCTCCAGTTCTTCAGTGCGAAGGGAAAGAAGAAGCCATAATATATTACCTTAATAAAAACAAAAAAAAATAAAAATAAGAGAGAGAGAGTTTAACAGATTATGGTTGGAGATAAGACCCAAGATTTCACTGCAATACTCCCGAAGGAAAGAGATTACACATTTAAAAGCATAGACAGAAAACGCGTGTAGGAAGTTGGGTAATTGTTCGATCTATTAATGACCAAAATTAGCATAATCATAGAAGAAAAATAAGAAATCTTTCACTAGTTTTTAATAAAAAATAAATAAGTTAATAAATATGAAATTTTCATGTATGAGGCGAATAATAATTAACTGTAACATGAAGTATGTAATAATATATGAAATAAATTCAAATAATGTGAGAAATTTATGATGACCTTTTATTTTGCTTAATATGCTGAGAGAGTATATATAACACAAATACAAATTATATTTTTATGTCATATAATTTTATACTTTTATAAAAAAATATATAAAATAAAAACATTATAATAAAAATTCATTACAATTTAATTTAGGATATTTAACTTGGATCTCTTTATTCAATAGTAAAATAATGTTAAAAAATACTAAATTAAAAGATAAAAATATTAAAATAAAAATCACAATAATAAAAAATATTTTTCTAAAAAAATAAATTTTAGAAATGCTCAGTGATCAAATTTGATAAAATAAATAACTTAAATAAGTAAAAAAATTTTGAAAAATTGACATCTATAAAAGAGGAATTTTGTCATACAAAGATGATTCCTCAATTTTGTTGAATTCATTTGAAAAATTCATTTATAAAAAGAATTTGGTGTAATTATGTTAAATTTCATATAATTAAATTCATAGAATTGAAATTAAAATTTTTTTTTTCATTCCAAACATAAAAATATAGATTTTTAAATATAATTTAGAAAAAATTAATTACATCCCCGTGTATATCAAAATACAACTATTTTATTTCTACCATTTTAAAAATATTTTTTAGAGTTTATACCTTTAGAAATATTAAATTAATAGGTCCGTCCAATTTTATAACTCCCCCGTCAGTTCAATTCAAAAAATAATGATCAAATGAAAGAGATTAAAATTTTATACCTAATGTACCCTTAAGAATTATCCCATCCCCACCTCAGTCTCTCATCTCTCCTTAATCTCCGTCACTCTCAAAACCATAACTATTATTTTTCAGACAAAGTATTTCTCAATGTCAAAAAGTAAAGAAATTTGCTCTAAGGACCATACTTTTTGACTTAGCACCACGCTCTCCTGTGGGCTCAACCTGTTCCCCCAAAAATGGTAAGTTCGGGACACTTACCTCTTTTTTTTTTTTTTTTTTTTAAAAAAAACGTTGCATTAATAATCACAAAAAGGAAACAAGCACTGCAGGATAGTACCCCATAGCTGCAAACGAGCGTAGGAATATGATGTCCGAGCTAACGAATGAGCATCTATATTTATTTATCTATAAATCCACCTAATGGTTATATCAAGTTTAGAAGCTAAAAAAAAAACCTTGCAATCATTTAAAATAATCCCAGATTCAGTATAAATTATTCGAATTGAAAAGGTATAAAATAGCTTGACATCAGTATAAATGGATCCCGCTAAAGCAGATGGTCTTGGAGCCAAAGAAGCGAGGTTCCTCTTGAACTATGTTTTTTCTACTCTGATGCATTGTTTCAACTTTCAATCAATCGCTTGAAAAGCTAACTGTTATATTACATTACAAAACAATATTTCATATTATCTCATGTCTGTTGCTTTTATGTTTGCTTTTGTTTTAGAAGATCTCTGTTTTCTTATTTGAATAGACTTTACTCAATTACCCAATTTACCCATAACAAGTAAGTCAACCTCTTCGGTCTTCACCCCCAATGTAATGCTAGGATTCATCTTATATTTACAATACATCATTATATTTACAACCAATGGTTATTTCATCTTATAGTTATTGATTTTATTTTTTTATTTTTATATTATTTTACTTTGTTTTTTATTTTGAGTTTATTGGTATTTGATTGAATATTTCATTATTTTTTATTTTGATTTTAAATATTTTATTGATTTTTTATTAAAATTTAAATATTTTATTGATTTTTTATTAAAATTATTTGGATGAAGTTTAAACCGTGACATTTGGTTATGAAGATAATAAAGAAGGGGATGGTTTGGCATAAAATAAAAATGTAATATGAAAATAAGGATATTTTTGTCTTTTCTGTTGACTTAACAACTAAATTGACAAAATAGAATGGAAGAATTAATGATATGACAAATGTAAAATACGGAGTCTTCAAAAAATATTTACCGAAATGGAGGGATTTACTAGTTTTTTATATATATAGGAATGTAATAGTAATTTTCCTTAGAATTTATTGTTTCAAATAAGGGGGTTTAAAGTCAAAATTTGGGAAATTTTTTATTTCCTTGGTTATTTGAGAAGGTTCAGCCACATCTTCCAAATGGGAACGGCAATAAAGACTTCTTTAGGCAAAGTAAGAAAATTACTACTATTTAGTACTTACAACACGAAATTTTTACAAACTATTGAAATTTGAGTTTATTATTTTGTAAGTCAGCAACTTAAAAAAATAAAAATCACTCCATAAAGTATTTACGAATTAAAACACTCTCATAAAATATTTACTTCATCCAAGAGAAAAAAATTACTGAGATACTCATTCCAACACGCAGAAAAAAGATTAACTGGGAATACACATATCCAACACTTATATAGGATTCAATAAGTTACTTTTGATAAAGAGTGAAATATGTTTTTAATATTACAAAGGAAAAGCATGAAGTTTTGAATGTGAATAGGGTGGCACCATTCACTAAATCACCTTGTTCAGAGCCTCTGTGTATTCAGCGTTTATTGCACAAGATTGGATCCCATTTGTGTGATTGATTTCAACCGTTAATTGACGCCCAAAACAGCCAACTCACATCATCTGCAATCTTGTCATTATCATCTCACTTTTAATATCTCTACATTGAAAGATGCGTTGTTGAGACAAAATATCCATTTACAATCGCACGAGAGTGAAAAAGTTGGTACAATACACACAATTAATGGAATTCTTGATGCACCCAACAAGCAAACTCGTTGTCATAAACCCAAGGTTCAAGGTTCACCTAGTAGATTTCTTTGCTTCCTGAGTTGCATCACTCAATTGCACCCAATCGAACTCTAGACAAAGACCACAATTGATAATAAAAAATAAATCCATAGTATTGATTGATAGAATTAAAAATGTTGACCAAATAATGAAAAAAAAAACCCAAAAATTCAGGCTTTTTTAAGTGATTAAGCCAAAAAAAAAAATGTTTGTTTTGTTAACGATCAATTAAGGGACTAATACCATAAAACTGTTAATTCATATTTTTGTGGCACAGGATTAATATGAACTAATAGTACATTCCCTTCATTGTTAATGGAATAAAACAAAATCTTTTTTATAAAAAAAATTCACCGGCCTTAAAAGTGAAAAAAATATGTGGATGCCAAAGAAGCTTGATCAGTAATTGCACTTGATTGAATCATTTTGCTCGAGGCAAGATGAATTTGGTGCAGAAACAAAGGCATCAATTCAATTCACAGGTTTTCAATCCTAAGTCTGAGTTCTTCCATATAAGCTGTTATTCAAGCTTGGAAACACATGCTGCAAAAGGAAAGCATAGGAAATAGGAATGATAACATAGTATATTATTTCAAAATGCCAACCAGATTCATTGAAAATAAGATCAAACAAACCTCTACGGCCAGCCACAGCCTGAAAGGTATTGCACATCCTCGTTCCACAGAAAAAATACTTAGCACTAATCAGTCTTTTAAGGGATATTGTTCTTCCTCCTGGATGTATAGTCTGACAGTGTACATGAATTCCATTAAATATATGTGCTATATTTACCTGGTATCAATAAGTTTTTAAGTTTTAAAATTATAATAGTAAGACTCTATAGCTTTGATTGGTCATAATAAAATAAAAGTTTCATAATATTATTAAATATTTTTCATTTGATAAACAAAGTTTTAATTACAAGTCATACTTTTTTTAATTCATTGGATCTTTTTATGGGCCGAAATAACACTGCAGGCTACTCAACAGATAGTAGTCTTCTCTTTAACTTACCAAATTGGTGAAAACAATTGTGGTCGAAAGGATTCCACTCACTCCTCACTCACATAAGCGAGAATATCAATTAAACCACCACCTGATTGACAATTACAAACTATACTTTTAAATTGACAAATAAAAAAAAAAAAAAAAATAAAAATAGATATATATATAATAATATTATATAATACATAAGTTTTGTAAATGATCCACAAATTCATTACACTTACCCAAATCCAAATTACAAGTCCTACTAAAAAATAAGTTGAGCAAAGGGACAATTCTTACTGGTGTGGGGTGGGTGATTCAACTGGAATTTTAGTTAAGCTATAGCATAAAAAATAAATAAATAAAAAGTCGCCTTACAGCTTAGTCGGTAAATATTTTAGTCTCTCACATTGTCTAAAAGACAATACACTCAGCTTAGATAGTTGTTTGATGCAATCAGATATGCTCTCGAAATTATTCCCACCTATCAGTAAATATTCCAGTGATGAATCTGAACGGCAAAGACAGCTAGGAAATTCTGATAGGCCACAAGATTCTAGCTCTATGAACCACAATTGTCTCGACAGATTGACAGAAGACGGTAGTCCTTTGACCATCAAGACCAAGCTCTGTTAGAGATTCCAAATTCCCTATGTTTTCTGGCAATCTCTTTAGATTTACACATCCGCCGAGATAAAAGTACATTAGAGACTTCAGATTGCAAAGACTTTCAAGCATTGTAGAATCATTCAAGGACACTAAGGAAAGACGAGAGAGGGACCCAATTGATGAGGGCACCTTTTCTATTCTAGTTCGTTCCAAAACTAGCACCTCTATGTTACACGGGAACTCTGGAAACTCTGCAAGTTTTAAGCATTCAGAGGCCCTAAATTCCTTGAGACTTTTCAAATCAAGGAGGGTTGGTAAAGTGCAAAGACTATTGCAATTCATTAGATGCAATCGAGTAAGCTTGCTCAAATATTTTGGAGAGGGAAACTCAACCAAACTTTCACAGTAATTCAGATCTAAAACCTCAAGTTTACAGGCTCTAGACAAGTCTGAAATTCTTATTAGCTCCTAGTTACTGAGATCGACGAATTTCAAATTTCCCAGTTGCTGCAATGAAAAAGAAGTGTAAGAATAAAATCATATATCTAACGTTCACAAAAACTACCTGCAAAGAAGCATTCTAAATCCTACCTGAACTCCACTGCAAAGTTCTTTTAGTTTGCTTTCCCGCATGCGAAGTTCGACCAGATTCTCTACATAAGAACCCAGTGGCAAAGATTTTAAAGGGAATTGATACCAGTGGAGTAACCTTACCCCTTCTGGCAGAAAATTGAGGCCTTTAGGAAGGTATACTTTGATTTTACTGAGTGAAGCATAGAACTTGAGAAACTTAAGATTATACATTTTCTCAAAGGCTGTAGGTTTTAAATTTAGCTCTTTGGCAGTAGACATGTCCAATGATATGCCTTTTCAGTCCCCGAAAACAAACAGAGCCAAAATAATGCAAAAAGAATCCAAAAGGTCCATGTAGCATTTGAAGTTTTTCTAAAAAGTAGTAACGGTTTTTATAAAGCTGAAAGATATATAAAATAAATTGACTGCAAATATAGTGATGTCCTGCCTCAGCTCTTGTGAACAGGTAATAAATCCTGGGATCTCCACAGCCACCCACCTTTCCAAACTGTTTTCCCGCGACAATATCCTCGCCGATGCGTAGCAAGTCATGCATAGAAACTGATTCACTGTGAGTGGGATAGAGAGACTATCAGGAGACGAGTATTCAAATTTGAACCAAGGGGACATCCAATAGAACTTTCACGCGAATGTTTTTACTCCCTTTAAACACTGCATGCAATAGCAAGAAAGATTTCCTTTCATTCACGAGCCATCATAAACTTATCCTCATTTACACCTTTTAATTGTTCCAATTCATCTACCCATACTTCTTCACTCTTGCCATACAAATTGGAACCTAAAACTTTGAGAGCCAACGGAATGCCCTGAGCATGATGAATTGCCATATTGGACAACTCAAAATATCCTGTTCTTGGAAATTGTTGCTTGAAGGAATGCTTGCAAAACAGGCAGAGAGCTTCACTTTTATTTAATTTCTCAACTTCATATATTGAGGCACCACAGTTCTTAAAGCAATTGTCTATCTCTGCTTGTCATAATTATTCTACTCCCTTGACCATAATCAGCATGCTTTCTGATTAAAAGTTCTACTTGCTGCACTAAATCATCTACATCATCAAGAACTATGAGAACTTTTTTTCTTGAGAGCCTACGTCTATTGAAAAGAGACAATGTACTATGATTACTTGAATTTTCTGCCTCTGATAGATCAGAAAGAATTTCCTTTTCTACATCACACAATGTGCATTTTTCTAATCTTTCCTTAACATTTGCAACAAAACATCGGCTTGTAAATTGAACAGAAATTCTATCAAACACTGCAATGGTGTTTTGCGATACCCGCGCATTCCCCAAATTCCTACACACGGTACATCTGCGACCCAAGGCATAAAAATGACTACAACAATCTGACTTCGTGAATCAATCTCCAACTAACCCATCGTCATAACAGGCAACACACAATATTTAGTTTCTTCAAAGTATAGCTGACAATTTCCTCAATTAACTTGGAGTCAGACCTGGTTATATACATGGAAGATACGACCAATGACCCACTAAAAATATAAAAAAATAGGTAACCAAATTTATAAAGAATACTAACTAGGTTTACAGCTAAAATAAAATTCAGGAATTATATAAACATAAAATAATAGAACAAGGACAATTGCACTTACTTAATGTTTTGTGAAACCAATCCTGACATTTCTGAAATTTCTCTAAGAGCTTGGCACCAACTATCAACCTTGTGCAAATACCCCGGTTCTTCTCTATGCTGAGCTATGAATCCCCAAATTTCCCTGTCAGCTTTTGAACGGCTTGGAATCTACTCGGTAAAAAACTGGTAAGGACCATTCTGCTCCATTGTTTTGTTGCACTCATCTTCACAAGCTCATCCAAACACCAGGGAGATATGCATTAATTTTCCGAGGAAAATTGGACCACTGAGGATATATGATTTTATCAATTATTTGCCAAGAGGGGATGAAGAGATGTTCTTCACCCCTGTCAAGTTTTTTCCATCCACAAAAGCAACTATTTCATTTTGACTCAAAGCTTTTATGGAGGTGACTGAGAATACATCCCCGGACTTAGAAATACATCCCGGACATCTTCACCTCTAAAATTAACGAACACATCGTACTGCTTCTCCAGTTTCTTCAGTGGGGAAGTGGAAGAAGAAGCCATAATATATTACTCAAAAAAAAAAAAATTACGAGAGAGAGAGTTTACAGATATATAGTTGGAGATAAGACTCCAAGATTTCCACTGCAATTACTCCGAAGGAAGGAGATCACACATTTAAAAGCATAAGACAGAAAACGCGTGTAGGAAAGTTGGGTAATTGTTTATTGTTCTGATCTACTTTAATGACCAAAAGTCAAAATCATACAAGAAAATAAGAATCTTTCCTCTCTTTTTGAAAAAATAAATAAGCTAATTTAAATATGAATTTTCATGGTATAAATATATTAGAAAGTATTATAAAATATTTACAATCGGAGCTATTATTTTATAATCCGACGACTTTAAACTAAAAATATTTTTTACAAATTATTATAGAATTAGTTGAAGACTCATGGTTTATAGGATTGGTTGTTTTATGTTGTAAATTATATTTTATAAATTGCATTTCGTACATTATTAAAAGATATATTTCCTTTTGCATTATTAAATTATCATATTATAAAAATGATAATACCATTATTTATTTCAAATAATTATAAAATTTGACTAATATGTCTCGATAATTCTAGATAGATAATTTAAACAATTTAAACCGTATATTGTTATAGATAATTCTATAGATCGACAAATATTATTTATAAATTTTATTATTACAAAGCATAAAAAATAAAATTAAATTAAATAAATAAAATTAATATTAATATATAATATTATAAATAAAAAATATTTTATTTAATTATATTTAAAGACTTAAATAGATTAAAAATAACGTTTATACAAGAAAGTTTAACTATTTATATATGGTATATTTTATTAAAAAAAACTTTTAATTTGAAATGTATATTTTATTTAAAAAAAACTTAATTTGAAATTTTAAAATTTTTGAAGGCCTAATTAATTTTTAAGTTTTAATTATATATATATAATAAAATTTAAAAAATCAATCTCCAGTTAAATAGTAAAAAATAAAGAGAATTTATTAATAATTTCTTAAAGAAAATAAAAAAATAGTATTCTTTTACTTATGAATACTAAATAATAAACAAATAATTATACGAGAGTGAAATACTTTGAATTTTTATTTTCGAAACTTTCAAATTTTTATTAAATTAAAAATCAAAAATTTTGGCCGTGTGGGCTGCAATTGGAATGTGGTTTCAATTTGAGCCCAACATTTTCGAATTAGGCCCAAGCCCAAAAACTGATTATCTGGAATGTTCGATCGGAGAACCACTAAATATCTTGATGAAATAAAATGGAACACTAATTATTAATCGATTATAAATGTATGTATATGTATGTAACTATTATATAAATTAATTATTCTAAAATCAAATATCATTACTATTACTATTTTTATTATTATCGAGTAAATGGAGGAAATATTTTCTAACCTAACTAAATAATTAAAATAAATCAAACCGAACCTGGGAATCAAAGCGATTTTTCGAAAACCACCACGAATAATTGGAAAACCGAGCAAAAAACTCGAAAAGCAAACGAAATGAGGTCAAATCACTAAATCGGACCGAACCGGTTCGAATCGAACCGGAATGGCCTAATTCCTTTCCTTTCCTTTCCTTTTTTTTTTTCTTCTTTCCTTCTTCTTCTTCATTTTCCTCTCGCGCACGACAGCCTCTCCTCTTCCTCTCCTTCGCGTTTTCGACCACCGTTCAGCAAGATGAAGATGGCGATCGATTCCTCTGGCGATGCTGGACACGGTTCCAACTTCCCCTCGCTCCGATCGGACCTCCAGCGGCGCGAATCGAGGCCATCTGCTCCAACAGTCACGCTCTTCGATCTCCGGCGACTTCTCGCCATTTTCGACGGGCTCAAGGTGAACCGAAGGTCTCGATCGACTCCTCTGCCCCATGTGAACATTTCCCCTCCATCAATTTGTGATTTTGCTTGAGTTTAGATGAACCACCATGGACGGCGGCTTGAAGGTGGCTGTGGAGGTCCAAACGAGCCATGGCCAAACGAGCCACTGGCTCAATAAATTGATAGCAGATTTGGATTCCTCACGAAAATTGGAGTCGGGTGGTGGTGACCTTGCAATTTTCTAGGCGGTTTAATTTTGCCGGCCACCGTGTACGGCGGATATGGCGGCATTCCGGCGAGGACTTCAAGAGGCAGAATGATCTCCTCTTCTCGCGGATCACGAAAATCAAATCCGATTTTTGATCGTTACATTGTAAGGCCTAGTTGCTTATTTTTGGTATAAATTTCAAAACTTGAATTAATTAATTAATTGAATATAAGGTTAATTGAATTAGTAAAAATTGGAGAGAATTTAGATACAGATAATAAAGTATTATGAAACATTCGATTATTAGAATCAGACTTCTGATATTAAAGGATAATAAAGATTTTCACCGAAAATAAAGGAAATTGTCTTAAATTTCCAAATTAATACGTAAATATCAATTAAATTGTGGGTTAATTAATAATATAATAAATACGTGGTTTAAGAACCAGTCTATTAATTACGCTACTCTCTTTTAATTATTGCTTAATTATTATTTAATTCATCATTATTTATGGGAACATTAATTTTACTAACGGGGCAAACTTATCTGAAGATTATTGACACATGAATAAATAAACAAGATAGTAACGGAATTCTATATAGTTTTATAAATTAAATACGACTTAAGATTATTGTCGTATGAATATTATATGATTCAATCGTATTATCATTATTAATATTTTTATTATTATTATTAATCATATTAATATTTTGATTAGTATTATCATAAAATATAAATTACCGAATAACTAGACGTTTTACTTAATGAATAAATTAGAAGAAATAATCAAATAAAGATGCACTATAGATATACAGTTAGTTTGATAAATTAATGAACCGACGAGTAACGAAAACAAATAAATGAATGCAAACTGCATTTTTCAAATTAGAATTCTTATGTAGAATTTTCTTATTATATAGATACTTATAAAGTTTCGGACTGTGAAGACAAAGGCTGGAAGCGCGCAATAAGAAAGACAGTCCTTTTAAGGACAACAAAAACTGTGAGTAGTGTTAGATAACTAGTATCATCCGCCTGCATTCATGCATTCACGGCTAAATGCTATCATGCATTAATCATGCATTATTTTGCTTAATTGCCATATTGTGCTGCATTATT